ATGAGGCGTGAAACCATCACCGCCGGTACACGCAGCACTGGACTACGGTCTGTAAGGAAGACACACAAGGTACGTCACACTCACCAGCCCCTACACCCGTTGTTCATCAATGTCTTTCTCGGTATCAGTCGCTAACCATTGATAGCAATATTACTGGAAGAAGCCTCGTGTCTAAACAGCTCTGTGTTAGCATCACCCACGCCACACCGAATGGCAAACTCCCTTCAACTATACCCGTTTCTTTCCGCGTTCGTACCACCACCGCAACAACATCGGACGGCACACGTCCGCCACCGAGCCCTTCGTCGACCGCGCGTACACTACCTATACTTCTTGAATCCTACCCTGTTTTTATATGCATAGCGAGGCGTTACGATACCATTTTCACGCTCCTCGTTGTATCTCGGAGTTTCGAGTTTTACCCTTTTCTTGTTTACACGTATGGTCTTCTCTGAACAAGAGATGGCATGTACTTCCCCTTACCTGCTGGATACGAAACATTTGTTGGATCGGCGTCAGCTCTATATTCTCGTTGGCGCTTTTCGTCTATGGTGAGAGTGACGAATGGGGAACTGTGTCGAGAGATGGCACTACGACCCAGCATCACGGTACTTATTGCGACGATCATCAACAATGGTGGAGAAGACGTTCGATTTCATATCTATGAGTGTTTAGTATGCGAGCAAGAGAAAATTTGTGTACTTGTATATCCGATGTTTTCTACGATCAACTACAACGAAAATCCAAAAACTGTCGCACTTTGATGTGATTATGTGACACTCGGCCATGGTCTTCTAGTCCCAAATCTCAAGTCTCATACTATGGTGCATCACAGTTCAAGAGTTGAAATTCATCAGTGCGGTCCAAGGCGTTTGGTATCAACACCGTGCAGTATGTTCGGTGACGTCATAAATTACGCTCGTGACGCGATCTCACGTGACATACTGCAAGGCCATCGAACATGTGCAGCAAGATGTAGCAATATGGGGAGCAATAGAGTCGAAGCTGGTGGTGTTTGAATTTGATCGATTCACTCTACATGCCTGATTCCCTTCATAAAGTCTCAGATGCGAGACAAGACAAGCACGCCATTGATGCCATGTGCCGTGGAAGAAGTAGTAGCGACCTAGCCCTCATATCCATCGCATGCAATCGTTGCAATTCGTTTCCACCGACCCCGTTGCTCTCTTCGCCAGACGCCGATAGAGGCGAGTAGTTTACTTCAACTTCTTCTTGGGGCGGAGCTGGTTGGTGTGTCCGCACTTCTTCTTGCGCTGTGTTGTTGTTAGTCAATGTCCGATACCCCAACCGTTCCTGATTCAAGGAACAGATATTTTCTCATGACGTACGCAGTTGACAGCCCTCGGTGGTAGGCGTGCGTAGCACTTGCGGCAGATCATCTTGTCGCAGTTGTACTTGGAGGCAAGGGCCTTGAGCGAAGGCTCAATGATACCACCACGGAGACGGAGGACCAAGTGGAGGGTGGACTCCTTCTGGATGTTGTAGTCGGACAGAGTGCGGCCATCCTCGAGCTGCTTTCCGGCGAAGATCAGGCGCTGTTGGTCCGGGGGAATGCCCTCCTTGTCCTGGATCTTGGACTTGACGTTGTCTGCCCGCTGTCAGCTTCTATCCTCCCTCTTCTACATGTTTTGCAAGCGCGGGCGATGCGATGCGATACGGCGCGGTGCGGAGTACTGCCGTCGAGTGGCATTGGGGGTGTGCGTACCGATGGTGTCACTGCTCTCAACTGCGAATAAGTCAGCGCGGGGCCCATGGCAATTCGTGCGTCCGAGATATACCTTCGAGCGTGATGGTCTTGCCCGTCAGGGTCTTCACGAAGATCTGCATCTTTGGCGGTGTTGCGGTGTTCCGTGATCTCAGTATCGAGGTTGAGGGCGGAAGTGGTAGACGAATTCCACACTGTGTGCGCGCACAGACACCCATGCTAGGCCGGCAAGCGTTAGCGCGCATCAAGCGCCCCTCACGTGTGACGCCTTCCATCACTCCAAACCGGCGCATCAAGCGTGCATTAATTTCTAAGAAGACAGGTGTTTGGCAAGTGATAGTCAAGCTTTGGATCTATATTATTACATGCACGTGGCGACCTCAAGCTTGCCTCTTCTGTGCCTTCTTCCACTGCTCAACCCTTGCTTCCGTGGAACCGACTGCTAATATGAGCATGTTCATCGATAGCCCTGCGATCTTTGCAGCTTCTCTGTACAGCGTCTTTGCTACATCAGGAATGTCTTCTTCCGTCTTCCAAATCGGGTATGCCTGTCCTATCCTAAGTACCTCGGTGTTCTCCTCGGCTACCACTGGAACTGTCTCCATTGCGCCCTGGACCACTTTTATCACCTCCAGTTTTTCGTTCAATGGTAAAGTATGGGATGCCTCCTGTGGGGGATGATGTGTTGTAGTGTCGATAGGAAACATATTGTACAGCGCGTGTCGGAAGTCATCAGCGTCCCTCGTGCGCTGGATTTCGGCATCATCCAAATACTCGGTGGCGTAGAAGTCCAGGTACTGATCCATCTCTTCAGGGCCCATTGTGAGAACATCCTTCTCCTGCACCTTTGTCAACTCCTCGGTAGTGAAGCGTCCCCTGCCTCCTCGCCTGGCTTCCTCCGCCGCCTTCATCTGCTCACGCCACACTTCCCAGTTCATCGCCGCCGCTGTTGGTTCGGAAGATGAAATCGGATAACGCTTCTCATTGTCGAGAGGATATAGTAGTTTGATGCATATGACGAGGGTGCTCACTAGTTGCGCCTCAGCGAGATGCCGTATACTCAGACGCTTCTTACCGTCGTGGTGGGGAGCGAAGTCATAGCCGAGCAAGTCGCCGAGTCGTTTTGTTGCATCATACAGCTCCAGTGGCAAGGCAAGCTCTTTCAGATAGCGGAACAGAAGGAGCGGCACGTTCAGAGCCGGCCAAGTGATACCGTGGTCTTTGCTGTAGCTCATTTGTAGGTCTATGAGCGTTTTGTAAAATCGTGTATAAGTAAGCGATGCGCTCGGATCAAGAACAGCACGGTAGGCGGGTAACAGTCGATCTCTCATGGCGAGTGGCAGTAGCTTGATTGCTCTGCGATATGCTAGTTTGCCATCAATGACCCACGCATAAACATCGCCTGGTGTGAACGGCAGCCTTAGTGTCAAGATACCAAGGTAGCACAAGACTAGACAATCATTGAGATTGGGTGCGGCGGCTAACCTCATACTCCTCTTTCCTTTGGTATCTCTGAGATGGCCTTTCTCAGTGTCCGTGGCATCATCTTCGCTCTCCATGGTGCTGAAAAGCTGTTGACTCTGTGACTCTGAGGACTCTTCATCCTGACTCGCGATCCGGTCTCCAAGTTGAGCAATGCGCAGCGACCAGAGATCGCGTGTGACTGCTTCAAGCTCCACAGGCAATCCTCGATCCTTGACGAGGAACCAAAGTTGATGGCGGAGGACGAGCTGCAGACATTTCAAGTATAAATCAAAACCTCGGGCGCCCTTGTAGATTTTACCAGTGGATTTGGCGTCATCCTCCGTCTCTTTCTTCTTGCGCGTGACTGTTCGGGAAGCCCCTACGTAGTCATCGTCATCTTCTCCGCGGACTAAGCCAGCCTGTTGGTGGCCGTTCTGACAATACAAGAAGCCGTCTTCGCCTTCTTCGTAACGTCTAGATCGGCAGTTTTCGACGCCACAAACGGGGCCTTTAGTCGACATAAACGAGGCCTAATTGGATTTGGCGGTGTACCTGTATATGGAAAGAGTGGATGCAGATATTTCAAGGTAACGAGGCTGCAAGTGAGAACAAGTGCGTTTGAGTGCTGCGTCACATGTGATCCATGGATAATTGTTGTCCAGGATACACGAGATCCAAGTTCGCGGGCGACTAGCGCGGCCTTATGGGGATCGGCAGGCTTGGCAATGAGTCGTTGATGGACCTTCAACGTATCGTGAGACTGCAATAAATGTTGAAACCCCTGAACGCTTCGTCCAGCATATGTGAATGTAGTGTTGACTGTGAATGTGATGGAGATGCAAGATGTTGAATTGTTGATGGGATTGAGATGGCGACGAGGTGTGGAAGGGGCGTTCTTTCCCAGCCACCTCACATCCTGACGAGCGTCCCTTCCCCACGTCATGTGGATGGCGTGTTCTTGCGCAAAACGCATTGAACACTCATTGAAATTCCCAGTCCATTGGATCGCAGATGACCTTGCTCTGCGGATGACTTTGTGCACAAACACGGTGTTGACATTGTGTTAATGAGGGCAGGTGTCGGGGGAGATGTGCGGCCATACTACACGACCACAGCAGCTGCAGAATGTGAAGGGAGAGCCTCTAAATGCACAGGAGCCACAAAGGAAGACGTCGCAACGAATCTATAAGCCCTTCTTATGATGGCAGATTGATAGGCCGCGATGCGACGACACAAGCCTGTGGCTTTGCCTATGTTCCAGCTGGAGCACGGCAGGAAGGGTCGGGAAGAGTTTACAGGATGCGCGCTGAAGCCGCCACTCCCATTTGACGAAGGCAATATGTATCTTCTGCTCCTCTCTCGCTGAAATGAGGAGACTTGAAACCCGCTCTCCCTTCGCTATGGTTATGTGACATACCACAGGTGCCGTAGCAATGAGCGGATGACGCACATAGGAATGAAGCTTTTGCCTTAGTAGGTTTGAACGGTGACTGCTCTGTACGTGAAGAGGCTTTGTACATCTCAGTCACCCTTACAAATTGAGAAGAGTTGATGTGGATGTTTGATTGCTATGAGTCTGACATTGCAAAAATGGCCTTGTGAAATACATGACGAACTATCCTCTCCTCATGAACAGATTGCGCTCCTTGGAACCGCTGTAAACATTAAAACCCGAAACGCCATTACCATAACTCCAGAAACATTGCTACATAGTAGCGGGTATAAAATGTGAAGTACAAAACAGACCAGCTGAAAGATCAGTAAACATATATGTGAAGTAGCAGGGCGCGCGAGAGTTCTCAAAGAGACCTCAATCGGCACGCTCTTCCACAGGCTGCCCAGCGCGACCATCCTTCAACCTGATATTGGGATTGGCATCCGGCAGCGCAATATTGAAGACCCTCTTCTCTTTTGCGGGAGATCTGTTGGCTGACTTCGCTCGCACGACAATGTGGTCTGGCTGAATTGAGTCGAAGTCTTTTGAGTAGGCGAACGTCTTCCAAAAGGCCTTCAGCCATTCGTCACCGTAATCGTCATACTTATCCGAGTCGGGGTTCTCTTGCCAATCAATGTTCAACTTGATGACGGCGGCGAAGTTGGTGTACAGGTCTAGAGAATTGTAAGCAGGCTGATAGCGGAGCAGAGAGAATCTCCAATAACATACATTTTGCATATTCCTGAACCAGAACAGGGGACTGCTGGATGTTGAACTTGCTGCACCACCTAAAGCCCAGCTCGAAATTGGCAACCGAATAGATATTGGCGAAGTGTTCAACCAGGGTTAATTGGTCTTTCTGATTTCTGAGCAGCGAGGTATCGGCGAGAGCGGTTCTGACTTGGGCCTATTGACATGTTAGTAAAGAAACATACAAGCATACTTAACATAGCTTTGGACTTACACTCATGTTCTTCTTGGTCTCTCGATACCAGTTATCGGAATGGTACTTGAAGCGCTTGTAGCATTCGCGAACGGTCTCTTGAGATGGTAGTCCGGTCGGGAAGAGAACCTTAATGCATTCTTCATCGCCTTTGCGGTCTGGATAAACCAAGAACCAGGCGCGGTAGATCCCTTCCAAAGCATCATATTTGTCCACAACGGTCTTTGGTCGCTTGACAGCCAGTTTGGCTGGCGCAAAGGCTGGTATCTGATCTCTTGAAAGCGCAAATAGAGATTGACGCGTCGGGGTGGGTGTGTCTGGTGCTTCAGGACTCTATAATAAAGTAAGTAAGTGTCAAAGAGTAAAGTAGGTGAAGCAAACCGGGCTCTTCTCTTCAGGCTCCTGGCCCTCAATCTGATCATGGCCGCGCTTGCGACCTGAAGTGGGTGAAGGCATAATTGTCCCCGACGACAGTGTCGGAGTGTAGCTGCGTTGCGATGACTGATACATAGTGAGAAACAGATCCAATAGCAGAAATGCGAGTAGAAGTGAGAGGGAATGAAGGCATAGCGCGCAGTTTCATACAGATCGAACCCCCCTCGGCGTTCTGTATGCCCTGCGTACTTATTCCGACACTCCCTTGCAAAGATGGCGCGTTACGATGTGGTTGGGACGAATAAAGGTGAAGAAGTTGGGAGGTTGGGGATGCGGGGACGCGGAGCTATGTGGCGCAAAATTCGGTGGTGGCCCATGCGCTTAGCGTGCCCGCCAGGCAATCGCGACTTGCGCACTTGCACAATTGCGACAACGCCAAACCTTCACCACAACTCAGGTATTGCGACTATAGCAAGTTCGACTTTTACAGCTGCTTCGCGAGATCTTCCAGAAGCAAGAAAGCCGCTATCAGCATCTGTCAATCGTCGCGCTCTGTGCAAATGCCCCCAAGGCCAGCATCAAACACCGCCCTCCAAACCTTAGAAGACACCAAAGCCTAAGTATACAATCGCCAGATTCTCTCGCCTTTCTCCTACTTCGCTCTCCTCTTCCAGCTTCAGAACTTCTCGCTCTTCTCTCTTAGCTTCTCCGCCTACTCAACCAATTCAACAACTTCCTACTTCTCTCTCGCGTTCTTCTACTTCTACAACCTTAGATTTTATCGCAAAACATCCAAGCAGTCACATAAGGTACACCAAATACTCGGCGCACACATCAAACACCTTCCACGTCACACAGAGATTCTTCCCACAAGACCCGACATTGTTGCGCATCTCAACCCCAAGCCAACGGCTCGAAAACGCATAAGGACAAACCCAGCAACCAAGGGCCAGAGACCAGGACGAAGGGCAGCGGAACATCCAGACTTGTGCAACACCCGGGTTTTGCCCTTTCGCCATCTGTCTTCCCACCCAAAAGACTGGCCAGATATCAGGATATTCGGCGGGCTTGGACTTGGTCATTTTCCCCTTGATCCAACCCTCAGAATGCACCGATTTCTGAACTGGTGTGCATGAACTTCCTCCTCTCAGACACGCTTCCCCAGGCCTCTGGAAACTTGTCAAAGTCCACTCGACCAAATAACCTGGATGCAACTTGGATGTTCATAATTCTTCCACTTCTTCCCAGACCATCCGCTCCTGCATTTCGACCCTTCAGATACGATGGTGGTTCGCAACAGACATAGGTACGGAAACCATCCTGACGACGAGCCGGACGATAGCGACGACCAGCCTCTCTCATCCCCCAATAAGAGAGCCAAAACCCATCATGATGATGTTGAGGATAATGAAGATTTGGATGATGTCCTACCATTCGCCGGCGATGACATCCTGGACACGACGGAGCAGCCTGAGCAGCCTGGAGATGTACCAAATCTCGATCTTCAGCCGTCAGATGCCTTCAGCGACAGCAATGACCTCATAGATGCCTGGCGCTCAAGAATTGAGGTTGCAGACTTCGATCAGATTCCAGATGTCATTGAGGAGCCCATAGATGAGCCTGATGTCCCTCACGACCTTGACCCAATACCGGATTCTGACGAGGAGGATGATGGCGATTTAGGCGAAGAAGAACGAGAAGTGGAAGGCTTCGTGGCACATTACACAGCTGCCACCCAACCAGATCCATCAGCTTCCCAAGCTCCCCCTTCGATGCCGCCGCCACCACTACCTTCCCTCCCTCCAAACCTTACGGACCTTTCCGAGTCACGGACTCATCACGTTAGCCCACTCCAGCTTAACGACACTCTGCTTCAGCTCGCTATGTGGTGTCACAATGAAGGGTGTTCTCGGACAGGCTACGCTGGCCTAGTCAAGATTCTACAAGGAAAAAACGCTAAGGACGAACTTGCAAATCTACCTGCGGTACTGGACACTCTGAAGGATGGTGTTTGGAAGTCGCTGCCTCTGATGCCGATGAAGCTCCAGGATATCAACCTCGATCCATCTGCCATACCTACAGGGACAAACCTCACTCACGCCTTGGAATTCTTCGATCTGGAAGCGATGCTTAAGACTGTTCTAAAATCTGACAGCTTTATGAGCCGGCTTCATTGTGGCATGGCTCACTTCGTCAATGACTCATCTGAGTTGTTCAATTCCCCTGCCTGGAGCTCCTCTATCAGAACAAGCTCTGGATCTTTCGCTCGTTATCCAGATGGCAAGCCCATATTCCCTGGTGATTTTATTCAGTTTCGCTGCCTGAATGGATGCACTGGATGCGCTGGCGGTTCGTTCCATTTGGCCCAGGTTACAAATACAGGCAAAAATTACTGTGGTACCAATTCTGGGACCATTAGTTTGATCGTCCGAAGGCTTGCCGATGCTAAACTTTTGCCACCCCATATCGAGAGAGATCCTTCCGCGCCGCCATTCAATTCTTCTGGTAACGTCGAATTATGCCTTTTCGATGGCAAAGAGATGCTGCCGGCGTCCAAGGTCATTCGGCGAGAGACCCGCGTTATCAAGGACTACCATCATCCAGTCCGTGTGGCCTACCCAAGTCCTGACCAGAATGGCGCCTGGTATGTGGTTCGGCAGGTAGTCAGGGGTAAGCGCTTGATGGCCTTAAACCTTTCGAATCCAATTCGGGGTGAATTGGAGGTCAAGGTCTTCTCGCGCAAGTATTTGGAGGACAATTTCGACCATCCCACTCGCCGCTGCGTCAGCCTCCCATACACTATGTTCATTGACGGTTTTGGAGTCTACCGGAATATGCATAGGTCGCTAACGGGGTTCTACCTCACATTGGCTGGCCTGTCTCGGCATGATCGCAAGAGGAGGATGAACCAATTCACCGTAGGATTTGGCCCCCATGGAAGCAACTTCGACGATGTCGTTTCCGCAATGGCTCCAATGCTTCAGCGATTAGATCAGGGTATGGTGGTTACCGTCAACGATGAAGAGATATTCCTTTGCGCTCCGGTCATCGCTTTCGTTGGCGACATGCCACAACAGCAGAAGAATGCAGGCTTTCTCGCCCAGAACGCCAAGCGCGGCTGCCGTTTCTGCCTAGCCGAAAAAACCGAGTTTGACCAGCTTGATTTTGACATTATCAAGAAAGGACGCTATTACCATGCTGTTCAGGCGATCCGGAAGCTCCAGCAAAACAAGGCCAAAACCACCAAGGCAAAAGCGCTCGCCGTGCTTGGGATGATGCCAGAGGAATCATCGCTCACGAAAATCGCTAAGGCCCTGGATCTCATTCGCGCCTGCCCGACCGACGTTGCGCATAGTGAGTACGGCGGTCTATCAAAACTCACATTAGAGATCCTGTTCACTGCGATACTCACTCCAAAGGGTGGAATGGAGTTTGCTCGATGTCTGCGCGATTTTCCTATGCCATTTGGTTGGAGCAAGCTGCAATCTCCAGTTCGTTTCCTTGGGAGTTATGGTCAGTCTGAGTGCGCTCGACTTATGCTGCTCACGCCAATCATCCTACGGCTCTACATGAAACGGAGCTGGATCATCACAGAGTTCCTCAGCGCCGCGGCCACAACATTTAAGGGCGAAATGCTAGATGGCAAAGTCGTCCTTACGTTGATATCATACATGGCCAAGATATCTGAGAACAATGCATCTCTCCTCGCGCCCACTATGACTGACGCCAACCGCATCAGCCTCCCAAAGACCATCCGATCCTCTCGCGCAGCATTCCAGAAGCTCGCTCATACCGCCGCCATCTCCACTCGCAAGAAACGCGGATCCCAATCCCGAGAATCGTCTGCACAGGCAAGTGGTGAAGGTTCTGAAGATGAGGAAGATGATGTTGAATCAGCGGTGAACGTTGCTGTGAACGAGCTGGGCTCTTCGAAGGGACCCAAAGATACAAAGCTTTCTTCTTACTTCCAGCGCATGCCCCTCCGACCCAATCTCCACACCGGCCTACATCTTCAAGAAGCGGCACTGGAATATTCGACACCTCTCGCGGTTTGCACCTTCAGCGGGGAGGACAAACATCGGTAAGACTTCATGGTCCGTCGCGATTAAGATATGCTAACAGACTTAGGCTATTTAAGAAACTTGTTACTCGTACAAATGGTCGAAACATTGAGCAGTTTCTTCTCAATGGGGAAAATTTGCGCTTTACGATCCGGTTCATCCTCCTCGGCGCGTTCGACAAAGAGTATCCAGATCTCGCAGCGGCTATGAAGCGGCTGAAGGAGGACAACCCAAACCTCTTCATTGCTCTGCTTCCAAGGTCAGAACAGCAGGAGCTCCTAGAGGTGAACGTCCTCAGCAACATGAAAGCGCCGGATGAAAATCACACCCAACTGAAACTGCTGGGACGGATCAAGTCAAGGGACGTAACAAAGGATGGTCTTCCAAATGGCCCAGGCGAGGCGACAGCGGACTTCATCTCCCAGCTCAGACGCGCATATAAAGATCACTACAACCAGAATTTGCTCAGCCTTGGTTATTTCGGTTTCCAGTGGTCGGCGAAGATGAGTTATTATGCAAAGTAAGTTTGCACTCCTTATTATCCTCGCCAACATTATCTTTTATGCGGAATCACTTTGGGAACTGGACTTTGTTCATACTAACATTCTATTAGGAGGTACGATAAGCGCATAGCTTTCAAGGTCGGCAACTTCGTCATGGTCAATCAACGCCTCTATCGGATTAACGGACTCTTTGTCCATGAGTTGCTGGATGATCTTTATACATTTGCGCTTCTTGAAGAGACTGTCGAGACAGGCAAGACAGATCGTGTACTCAAGTTTCCCTTCATAAGAGTTACTGGCAAGACTCATGTCGTCGGGGTGAGTGAGTTGAGCGACGAGAAGCAGTATGTTCTGCCGATGGTACCTGGTGGTGATACCAAACTCGCTGCGCCGCATAAGCCAGGTGAGGGGAACGAGTCTGATATCTTTCTCCATGCTCCTTGGAAGATAGAGTTTTTGTAGTAGTAGCGATTTGGCAAGGCTCGAGTTTCCATAGCGAGGAAGAATGTTGGGGTGAGAGAATGTCAAAGCGCGAAATGCCAAGCATTTACACCCTGAGCCCTCGACGCGTTTTGTGAACCTTCCCCGCTATTACTACACCACCACCAACCCAGGCCAACCTGTTGCAGCTATGTTTATTCGCTATAACTCAAGCAAATCTTTTATTTACGATCTCGGGGTTTTGCGCGTACTTCCAGAGAAGTCGCGCGTGAAGCAGAGCTCCAGCGCGCCAAATCCGCGCTTTCGAAACAGCCGCCCTTTGTTATTGCGCCTCTTCAAAACTCTGCCTCTACTCGCAGACTTTAGCAACGCCAAACAGAGTATTTACAAGCAGTTCCAACTCTATTCAAGGACGCACAATCCAAGCATCAATTCTATCCAATCTCCGCCGCTCTGTCAGAGTTAGCAGAGCCTCAGCATATCTACCAGCTCCCAAAGGCTACTCAGACATACAGCCTCAGCCTGCAAAGCGCAGATTCTCCCTACCTTCTATCGCTTCGCTACCGCATTCTCTCGTATACTTTTCTACTTCTTCTCTACCTTCTTCTCTGCCTGCTATACTAATTTCTTCTCTTCTAGACAAGATCTTCATTCTCTTCACCCTACCAACTATTCTCTGCTACAGGAAAACATTACAGCAACTACAAAAAGCGCTGAGCGAAAAGCGCGCCCCCAAAACATCGTCCACGGCCCGAGCCAGATTTCAGAACATCTCGAGACATCCCTCAGCGAAACACCCCCCAATACCCTCCTCAAAGCCGCCCTCAGATCGACGGACATACCAGGATAATAGGGCCAAACACAGGCTCAGCGGGCAGACGAACATCGGAGGTTGTGCATCTGACGGGGCTGAAGCCTCATGTCAATGTCGATATTCTCCAAGTCCGCAGAGCAGATTTGAGAAGAGATTTCGCTATGGCAGAATGCATATCCGATTGGCGTCCTGTGCAATGCATTCCTTCCTCCAGACATGGTTCCCGCCAGTTTGTATGGGAAAACGGCTTTTGAAGGCTGGGGCCTTAGGATTTTGGCCAATATTCGCCAAAATGACATTCTCATACTAATTAGTATGGTACCAACATCGCCTCTGATCCAGACCCTCAGTCAGCATTATAATAGACACGATGCAGATGCGATGCTTCACTATTCTTCTACTTCCGGTCCAGACATACGAGGCGGCATTTTGCTACTCCCAGATTACACCTCCTCAAGGATATATTTCACCAAGTCCACCATACTATGGCTATGAATTCATGAGCTGCCGGTGCTTTATGACATGTCTGAGCAGTCGCTATATACGCATTCCACCCATACAAATTATCCGGTTTCACCGCCTGTAAGTATGGAAATCTGCCCCTACACCATACAAATACTACCAAATTGTTATAGCGATAGCATTTTTACTTGCAAAAACGCCTGCCACATCACTATACAAAACGGTCTTATCAGAATTACAGCGCAGCTCAATGAGCAAATCGCCTTCCTCGCCTTCCTCGCCTCCCGTCACAGGCGCAACTTCCCCATTCAATGGCGCATTCCCTCACAAGACCCGCCGCCACACCAGACCCCAGATTCCACATGAGGGATGAGGGATGATCATGGCCAGCGCCTTGGCTATATGATCCACATATTCTGGGCTGTTTTCCATCAAAGGGATGGCGTGGCGCAGTGGGGCCGGTGATGACCATTAACTATCGATTGACCTCTGATTGCTGATGAGGAGAAGAAGAAGAAACATGGCTGAGGCATGTACGCGCATCCCATTTTTTTGCCCTTGTTGTTGTTGTTGTTGTTGTTGTTGTTGTAGCTAACCAGGGCCCAGGTTCAATCCCCTTCCGTCTCATCTTCCACACGCGCCCGCGGCCCCAATATGTCTTTTTGCCAGCCAGCCCAACATTGCCTCACCAACCACAACATCGCGCCCACTGTCAAGGAGGAGGTCAAGGAGGAGGTCAAGGACACTGAGGTCACACCCAAGAAGCCAGCCACACCCGCAAGCACAAGGCCACGGCCGCGCCCGCGCCCAAGTCCAAGGCTGGCGATGGCAGACGGCAGACATCTCGCAAGCGCAAGGCCAAGGCCACGGCCGGCCGCGCCCAAGTCCAAGGCTGACGATGGCCGTGACACCGCGCAAGCGCAAGGCCACGACCGCGGCCGCCACCAACAACACACGCCTGGAGCTAAGGAGGAGCGCCTCAATCGCCAGCGGGAGTTCAGAGTCCTGCTGCCGCCTAGCCATATCACCGTTCACCATCTCCACCTCAACCTCACCGTATGGACCCTGGATCCAGCGCCCGCTCCTAGCTGCTGGGGACTATATAGTCCTGCTGCCCGCTGTTTCAAAC